GTAATGTAATCCCTATCAAAACACCACCAGCATTTTTCGCAGAGCTAGAATGAACAATCATTAAGTTTGCACGGAATCACAAAAGACCCCAAATAGCCAAAGCAATCCAGAAAAAGAAAAAACTGGAGGTACCACAATTCCAGATTTCAAGCTGTATTACAAAGCTGTAGTCATCAAGACAGTATAGTACTGGCACAAAAACAGACACATAGGTCACAGGAAAAGAATAGAGAACCCAGAAATGGATGCACAACTGTATGGTCAACTAAACCTTGACAAAGCAGGAAAGAATATCCAATGTAAAAAAGACAGTCTCTTCAACAAATGGTGCTGGGAAAACTGGATGGTGACATGCAGGAGAATGAAACTGGACCACTCTCTTATACCATACACAAAAATAAATTCAAAATGGATGAAAGATCTAAATATGAGACAGGAAACCATCAAAAACCTAGAGGAGAAAATAGACAGCAACCTCTCTGACCTCAGGCAGAGCAATTTACTAGACACATCACCGAAGGCAAGAGAAACAAAAGTAAACATGAACCACTGGAACCTCATCAAGATAAAAAGCTTCTGCACTGCAAAGGAAACAATAAACAAAACTACAAGGCAGCTTATGGAATGGGAGAAGATATCTGCAAATGATGTATCTGATAAAGGGCTAGCATCCAAAATATATACAGAACTTAGCAAACTCAACACCCAAAAAACAAATAACCCAGTGAAGAAATGGGCAAAAGACATGAACATACACTTTTCCAAAGAAGACATCCAGATGACCAACCAACACATGAAAAGATGAGATACCACCTCACACCTGCCAGAATGGCTAAAATTAATAACACAAGAAACAACGGGTGTTGGTAAGGATATGGACAAAGCAGAACCCTCTTGCACTGCTGATGGGAATGCAAACTGGTGCAGCCACTCTGGAGAAGAGTATGGAGGTTCCTGAAAAAACTAAAAATAGAACTACCCTATGGTTCAGCAATTGCCCTACTAGGTATTCACCCAAAGGATAAAAAAAATACAGATTCACAGGGGACAAGCACCCCGATTTTTACAGCAGCATTATCAACAACAGTCAAACTATGGAAAAGAGCCCCAAAGTCCACCAACTGATGAATGGATAAAGATGATGTGGGGGGTGTGTGTGTGTGCATGCATTCATGCATGTGTGATGGAATATTATTCAGCCATCAAAAAGAATGAAATCTTGCCATTTGCAATGACGTGAATGGAACCAGAATGTATTATGCTAAGTGAAATAAGTCAATAAGAGAAACAAATATGATTTCACTCACATCTGGAATTTAAGAAACAAAAACAGATGACATATGGGAAGAGGGGGGAACAACATATGGGGGGAGAGGAAACAAAATGAGACAAGCCACAAGAGACTCTTAATGATAGAGAACAAACAGGGTTTATGGAGGGAGGTGGGTGGAAGATGGGCGAGATGGGTCATGGGTATTTAGGAGGGCACCTGTGATGAGCACTGGGTGTTGTATATAAGTGATGATTCACTGAATTCTACTCCTCAAACCAATATTGTACTGTATGTTAACCACAATTTAACTTAAAAATAAAATAAAATGTTTCTTATACACAACTTTTAGTTGAGTCTTATTTTTTGATCCATTCTAATAATCCCTTTCTTTTAATTGGTGTATTTAGACTATCGACATTTTAAATGATTATTGGATCAATGCCCACCATATTTTACCGTTTTCTATTTCTTGTCCTTATTCTTTATTCCTGTTTTGTCTTCAACACTTTTTCTGCCTTTTGAAGTTTTAACTGAGCATTTTATATAATTCTGTTTTTTCATTTTCCTAGTATATCAATTATATATCCTTTTTTAAGTTGTTGCTCTCAAGTTTGCAACATAAATTTACTAATGATTTACAATCCAAACAGATTTACAATCCAAATCTACTTCCAAGTAACACTAAACCGCTTCACAGGTACTAGAAGTATCTTACACTAACAAAATACTCTTAATTCTTCTCTCCTGTTCCTGTGTCCTTGCTCCCATTCATTTCATTTATACATAAACATAAAACACACAAGCATCCATACACACATAATCAAATACATTGTTATTATTATCTTGAACTATTACCTGACAGGTCAATTAAGGATAAGAAAACAGAGTTCTTCTTGAGCCAAGCTGTTTGAATCTTGTTGCTTGGTGGTGTGGTCTATATATGCTGTGTTTGGAAGGAAGCAGGGGAGTGGGTTCTTGACTGACCTCAGCCGGCCTGGGGGTGGAGGACACCACTCGAATTACACCTCAGGACTGCAGTCCAGGCCTCAACATTGCAACATCCCTAGACTCCATGACCAGAAGACGCCATTTGCAGAGGCTCATGGCAGAGCAGCTTGTAAAAGTCGGGGTACATCCTGAGAAAACTGGGCAGTATGTTTCTGGAAACTACTGTTGGAGCTAAGCTCTTGGTTTCTCTGCTGGACCACAGATTTCTGGGGGGTACACTCAGTCCCCTAGATGTAGGTTGACATGCCACTGTCTTTGAAAAGACTGCGCATCACTGAGGCAGCCCCCTTTTCCCAATAAAAAGTCTGGAGTCCTCAGCAGTGGCTGGTTAGAGGGGAATCAGGTTGCACTTTCTCTACTCCTCATAGTTTCCCTGCTTGTCAACTGAGTTTCCTCCTGAGGAAGATCATTTCCCTCACAAAGCCCAGGTCTCTGCAGACCAATTAGCAAGGGCACTAACAGCCATGCATGTCTGTCCTGGCAAAGGCCAATGTTTTTTGAAGAGAGCTCAAACTCCCTCCCCAGCCCATGTCTAGTGAACACCAGAGCAGGGAAAGAATCAAGCCCATTCCCTGTCCTCTTCTCCTCTGTGAATTGAATTTCAGAAATTTTTTTCTACACGCAACACAAAGCGTCCAGATCCATAAAACAATAAGGAGGGGAAATGTGTTTTGTTTTATTTTTTTCCTGGAAATTTTGCTTCAAATTTTGCCGTACCATAGAGCCCAGAAAGACATGTGTTCTCATTTGCCTGCCTGACTCCATGGTGGTGTCGCTTTTATGTTCCATTCGTGGCATTCGAGTTGCTCTCCTTTATAGCCCTGTTTCTCAAGTTCTGTTCAAGTTAAACTCGTGTAAAACTCTCCATGGTGCTGGGAGCAGCATGTGTGTTGCTGCTGCATAAGAATCTGTACTTGGATGCCGATCTAGAGACCTGATGGAATTGACAGTTGTGTACCCGTAATCATTAGTGGCAATGATGGCATTCTGAAAAGCAATTCTTATACAGTAAGTTCTACAATTCTTTGGAAAAAAGAATAAGAAAAATAAAAGTTTTTGTTTTACCTTCACTTATTCTGATGTTCTTTCTTGAATCTGAGTTTCTTATCTATATTATTTTCTTTCTCTCTAAAGATTTTCTATTAATATTTCTTGTAAGACAGGTCTATTGGCAACAAATTCCCTCTATTTTTGTTTGTCTAAGAAAGTCTATTTCCCCTTCACTTTTGAAGGATAATTTTACAAAGGATACAAAATTCTATGTTGATGGGCTTTTCTCTCAACATTTTAAGTATTTGTTCCCAACACTTTAAATATCTACTCCACTCTCTTCTTTCTGCATGGTTTCTAAGAAGTTGGATGTCATTCTCATTTTTGCTCCTTGTAAGTAAGGTTCTTTTTCCCTGTGGCCTCTTTCAGAATCTCTAGCTTTAATTTCTGCAATTTAAATATAATAGCCTAGGTTTGGAGTTTTTTGTTGTTTATCCTGCTTGGTGTTCTCCTAGCTTCCTGGATCTGTGGTTTGATGTCTGACATACATTTGGGGAAATCCTCAGTAATTATTGCTTCAGATGCTGCTTCTGTTCCTTTCTTTCTTCTCCCTCTGGCAGTCCCATTATGTGTAAGTTACACCTTTTGTACTTGTCCCACAGGCCTTAGATGTTCTCTTCTGCTTTTTTCAGTCTTTCTTCCCTTGGCTTTTCAGTTTTTGGTTTTTTTTTTTTTTTTTAACTTTTCTGTTATGTCCCCAACCTCAGAGATTCTTTCCTCAGCTATGTCCAGTCTATTAACGAGCCCATCAAAGGCATTCTTCATTTCTGTGAGCTTTGTGGCATTTTAACTTTACCTAGTCCCATCTCCCTTTCCCCAGCTTTACCAGAGCTCTGAAAACCAAAAGCCTTGTACAAATCAGCAACCTAATGGCCACTTGAGGGGACAAAATAGGTTGGGAGCTTGCCCACACAAAAACTTATTCATATCTAAGGGTGATGGGGGGAAAAGGCAATATAAGGGATACCTGTGGTTAATAAAACTGTATCTCTACTTTATCACTGTGAATATCCAGTTTTGACATTGTGCTTTTGTTTTGCAAGGTGTTATCATTGGGGGAAATTGGGTAAAGAGAATACATGATCTCTTGTGTTATTTCTTTCAACTGCACGTGACTCTACAATTTCCTCATAAAAAAAGTTTAATTAGAAACAAAACTTGTTCACTAATGTAGCAGCATTACTTAGAACAGCTCCAAATTGTAAGCAACTCAAATGTCCATCATCTGGTGAATAAACAAATGACAGTATATCCAACCCATGAAATACTACTCAGAAGTAAAAGTGAACAAAATATTAACACATGCAACAAGATGGATGTATCTCTACAAACAAGTGAAGTAAAAGTAAAGAAATAAAGCTAAGTGAAAGAAATAAAACACCAAAGATCACCTACTGTATGACTCCACTTACAAGAAATGTAGTGACAGAAAGTACATCAGTGATTGCATGGAGGTCAGCCTGGAGGAAAAGCTTGAGTACCACGGGCAGGAGGAAACTTTTTAGTGTGAAGGAACTCTAGCTCCTTCTACCGTTTGATTATGGTGGTGATCATATGATTATATACGATTATCAAAATTCATACTGCACACATAAAATTGAATTTTATGAAATTTAAATATCTTAAAATAGAAAAAGGAGAAAAAAATTAAGACTTAGAAAAGTAATACCTGTTAGTGTTCTTCCTGCATTCAGAGGAGGAGAAATGACTCTGAAAAGTTTCTGCATTAAAATTAAAAATAAAACAATCACCATCATTTTTTAAAAAATTGTATTTTCAAAAAACAATCAAGAATCTTATACTATTAATCACCTTTCTCTGAATAAATCAGTTATTTGCTATTGGGATTAAATACAAAAACTTTTAAGGTGGACACAAACTATTATTGAAGAATCAGTAGGAAACAACTGTTATCATATTCCTCACTGAAAGAAACCATTTAGTAAATACCATTTAGGTGAAGGTGTTTGTTGAGTTGTAATTTCTGATATAAATATCCTTAGGCTCATCAAAATGATTAAAAAAAAAAGTGAAGGGATTAATAGCCCACCAAAATGGCAATGAAGATTATTTTAAACTGAAAACATCTGAACAGCAGACACAAAAGGAAACATTATCTAAATTTAAACACAGCCTCTGAAAACACAGTAAGATTAATGATAAAACTACATTGGCCTTCCTCAGAGGGAGTTTCCTGTTTGGGAGAGGACAGGCCCTTAGAACTGGGAACTGCAAATCAAACTGTTCATTAGCCAAAAAAAAAACCAATCCTTATTTTCCTAGGAAGGCCCTAAATCCCTCCCTCCCCGCTAACCAACATTTTGTTAAACAGGTGTATAAACCTTTAGTTCCGGCCAGTCAGTAAAGTCCTCATTACAAAGTGCTCCCACTACTTGTGTGAATAAACCTTTCCTTTTCTCTTGTTAATCTGTCTTTTGTCAGCTAATCTGCAGCCCTCCTCCCCGCACTGAGACCTAAATTCCTAGAGGAAGTGCTTTCCCTCCCAACACAAGGCACTACTTTTACCTCAGAAGCAGCCACAGCTACAAATAAGGAAAGATTTCAGAGATCCTGGTAGTCATCTCAAATATGATGACACTGTCATTCCAGAAAATCTAGAAATTCTCAAGAGGCAGGAGACCTTTTAATTTAGACCTCTTTAAGTACTAAAATAATTAAACTTCAAATAATGACAAGTGATTTCCTTGTGAGCAGAAAGTTACAAATACGGAATCACAGAACACACCTACCTAACCTCCCATTGCTAAACTCTCCAAATGACTATTTAATAACAAATACCAAGCTCTTTCTGAAAACCATTAAACTTGAAAACCTCTCTTAACACAAAACAAGGCAATCTTAATAGCCCACAGCCCATCTGAGATGTGTAGATATAAATGCAAACCAGATTTTGAGGATTAAAACACACACATACAAAACTAAAATTTAAAATGCAACAATAACAAAAACCCAGCAATCATTTTTATCACCATAGAATATATCAAATTAGAATCTGTTTCTAAGGATTATTTTGAGAGAAGGCAGAATTGTAGAGGCCGCTTTTAGAGAACGGGCTTGGGCAATGGAAACCTGATCAAGGTAAAAGGGCCCACGGCAACCAAGACCAAGGCGCTGAAAGCAAACAGGCAATTCAAATAGGTTCATTGAGCGACCCACCTCAAAATAGCCACAGTCCCTAACTGACCAATTATAACCATGCACAGTTCCTAAGATTACCAAAGAAGAGAAAAGTCCATTTTTCCCATATTCCCTGACTTCACCCTGTAACTGTGGCCACTCACCACTGCCTCTGCTGTCTCTCCTTTGCTGTCCTGCCTGCCTTCCACACCTTTGCGGTGTATTCAGTAAACTTTTATCTCTTTTTCTGCCTTGGGTGAATTCTTTCACCACCTGTGCCACCAGCCCCCACGTGATCAGAGCGCCCCACATTTGCAACTGGGATGTCCGACATTTGGTGGCCCAAATGAGACCCTCTGATGGCCTGGAGCTCTCCCCGGATTCTCTGGGAATTTCTCGGGGCTTTCCCCCCGCGGACCATCCAATTGGAGGATCCCACAGAAACTGCATTAATTCTTCCTAACTGTGGTTTAAGAGTGAGACAAAACATTTTTTGCATGTAGGGAGGTCCTGGATCTCACTGAGGAGCCAGCTGACAGTTCTTTCCAGGGATGTACTGGACTTCGGAGGAAAGCAGCTGAGAGATGTTCAAGTGTAAAAAATCCTTACTAGACACACAATCAGTGTCAAAACCAGGGGAAGAGGGCTGTGGTACATTTTGGAAACTGACCAAGAGAAGAGAGGGACAACCAAAACTGGAGGAGTTTTGAATTAGAGTAATAGTCACCTACCTACAAAGCTAAGGGTGTTTAAGAAAGCATGAACTATCACAAGACAACTGCTGACTTAGCAATACCAAAGACAGTTTTGGATAGCCATTAAATACGCAAAAAAAAAAAAAGGTTGACTGGATGCCTTCCACAGATGCCTGGCTCTTCTAAGCCAGGTAATTAGTCATTGTAATAAAACAATGGGCTGGCAGGGTGCTACCTATATCCACAATCCATTATCTACAATTCTGTCCTCAATTTAAGGCAAATAACAAAGTGGATACGGCATTTGGTTCTTTTTAAAATAAGACCAAATGCTTTTTAGTGATGAGGAGAATAAATTATAATGCATGCTGTAAGTGCTAAACTGGAAAAAGCAACAAATTAGCAATTAACAAATAAAGATATTCCACCATTATCAGGACCTTCCCCCAGCACAATATATCTACAAATAATATTTCTTAATAGTACATTTACTACACACAGTAAGTATATGAATATTTTATACCTTTTGGAAAACTTACTATAATATCAAAAATTCTTAAACAAACCAACTTAGTCGAACAGGCAGGCATTACTTTTATTTATTGCTCCCTGGGATTTAAATACCTATTTATGCAGACAAAAAAGAAAGCAATGGCAGAAGGTATGAAATTCAAGGTCACCTAATGCCCCAAGCTAAAATGGGTGCAAGTCTAATAATATATCTACAAGAAATTAAACAATGATTGGATGAAAACAGAATCTATTCAAAGTAAATGAATAGGAAAAAAGCCATTCATAGACAAATGTGTGTCCAAGTTAGGAAATATCTTACCTCCATTGGACTAATAAATTCATTCATGCCTCTGTTGTAAACATAGATCATAGCATCATACAGACGATTTTCCCAACACATGAGAACTACCTGTAAAAAGAAGAGTTGTCTCACCAATTATTTTCCTTAAAGCTTTAACAATGGAGAAGATCTTAAATACTCTTCCCTATCTATCTTAGTCCTTCTCTGAAAAAAACTGAAGTACAGTTGACCCTTGAACAATGTGGAGGTTAGGGGCGCTAACCCCTCCTCACCCCCACACAAAAACCCATATATAACTTTTGACTCCCCCACAACTCAACTATGAATAGCCTACAGTTGACCAGAAGCCTTATTGATAACATTGTCGAGTAACACCTATTTCATGTTATGTGTGTTATAGTCTGTATTCTTACAATATAGAGAAAATGTTATTAATAAAATTATAAAGAGGAGATACATTTACAGTACTGTGCTTGCATTTATTGAAAAAATTCCACGTATAAATATATCTGTGCAGTTCAAAATCCTGTTGTTCAAGGATCAACAGTACTCAAACACAGTGTCAGGGTAACAGCTGTTATAGGTTCAATACTACTTTTAATTGTACAATGGCTACTTTCAAACATCCCCAATGTCTATTTTTCTCTCCATCCTCCCCCTTTCCAAACTCATTTTGCCCTTGGTCAATAGCTCTACAAATTATCTACTGAACACTTATATTCATTCAGGCCCACTCCTAGGAATCTGAGATACAGTGATAGATCAGACAAATCTCAACTTAGTCTCTACCCTTACAGAACTACTGTTCATCTTGGACACTTAACAAAAGAAGGGAGGGGCAGAAAATGATATGTGAGTTACACCTGGGGAAGTTACTCAATTACACAAATAATTCGTTTACAAATGTGATGTGTTACGAAGCAACCTGATGTGCTCTAGAGTATTCAGAAGGTCATCCCTGAGGAAGCAATATTTAACTTAGGACCTAAAGGATGCATATAATGAGAGGCAAAAGCAGAGATGAACTCTAGGGACTATGTGGGCTGAAGCAGAAGGATGAAGGTCTACGGAAGAAAGAAGCTTGAAGTGTTTAAGGATGGAGAGAACTGATCTGTGAAAATATTCAGAAGAGGAACAGTGGTGACCTGCAGTGTATAGTACTTTATATTCTGTTCCTATATGAGTTACACTCCCGATGGACAAGGGAAGAGGGCTGTTAGAAGAGCAGAGGTTGGCAAAGGAGAATGATAAGGACCAACCAGAGAATTAAGAGGAAAAACAGAGGTAAGGTGTCATGGGAGAGTCTTGAGACTGAGGCAGGTTCTGGGACCTCTTCTCTTCTCTCACTAACCACCCTATGAGCCCGTGCTGTGATCATACATCTCTGTACTGATGATTAACACATTTACGGCTTTAGCCCTACCTCCCCTCTGATCCATATATCCAACCACTTACTTGGTATCTTCACCTGAGTATCTAATAGCAATCTCAAAATAAAAACAGAACTCCTGATTGTCTCTCTCAAACTTCGACCTATCCAGTCTTCCAATCTTCTTGGAGGCATCACTACCTGCATTTATCTCAAGCCAAAAAAACTAAGTGTCATCCTTAAATTCTCTCTTTCCCACACTTCCACACTCTTGCATCCGATTCATTAGCAAATTAATTCTACTGCCATAACATATCCAAAATCAGGCCATCTCTCTCCATCTCATTGCAACCATCTCTGGTCAAGACCACCTCCTGAACCAGTGTCTAATTAATCTTACTTCTTCTGATCTTGATTCCCACCTTCATTCTGTTATACCTAAGTAAACCAGAGTCATCTTGCTTAAAACCGTTTAATGATTTCCCAGAGCACTCAGAATAAAATGGAAAAATCTGGACCTTGCCCTGAAAGGACTACCTCTCTGTTTCAACCAAGCTCCAAGTCTATTTGCCCTTTATCTGTAACTTCAACATGAGGTTTTTTGTTTTTTTTTTTTTTTTGCATTAGCTGTTGCTTTTGCCTGGAACAATCTTCTCCAAGATCTCTGCATTGCTGATTCCTTCTTGTCAGATTCCAGACCCAGTGTTACTTCCTTAGGGAGATTTTCTACAGTTAACCAATCTATAAGGTAGCCTCACATCCTCTACCATATTGACTGACTTTTAACATAACACTTGTTTTTTTATACTTCTGGTTTATCTGTTTGTTGTCAAACTTTTTGGCTAAAATGTAAGCCTCTGAGAGGATAAGCATTGTCCACTAGGGTCACTGAAGCATCCTCGGAGCCTTACACTCAATGCCCCTCGAATTAATAACAAATGAGTAAGTAAAATGTGAAAAATATGACTTGATATAGTGAACATGGAGGGCATAGCTGATTCACTAAAAGCAAGGTTGAAGAGTTACTAGGATGTGGGAAAAATGGAAGTACAACCTAGATGATGCTTTCAAGACATTCGGCTATGACTAGGAAGAGTGACATGGGGCAGTAACCTATGGGGAAGAAGGAAAGAAGGCTTGATATGAAGAGAAGGGAAACTGAAGAGATTTTTTTAAATTGTTATTTTAACATAAAAAACACTAGAGCATATTTATATTTACATAGTGCTGGGGAAAAGCTAAAAATATTGGGAAGACAAGAAATGAGAAATTTCTCTTACACTAATATGGGTAAATCAAACTAGATTGATAACATGCTCTCAAATCACTTTAACTATTATCTGACATGAAAACTCTGCCAAATTACCCACACAACAGAAAGGCATACATAAAAGAGTATCTGGCTTTACTTAGCAAACTCACAGCCATTCATAAAGAGCTTCCAGGAAGAAAACAGTAACTATTTCTCCAAGCCCTTAACTTCTGTGTGACTTTGCACCTTTTAAAAAAGTACTTTTGGTCAAAGATCTTTAAGTCATCATAGTTTAGTTCAATAGGGCTTGCTTACTTATTAGGACCTTGTACCTTTGCAGAAGTGGCATGCTCATTACTAGGGCTAATATGGAACTGAACAGTTAAGAGTGAAATGTCTAGGGGCGCCTGGGTGGCTCAGTCAGTTGAGCAGACGACTTCGGCTCAGGTCATGATCTCGTGGTTTGTGAGTTTGAGCCCCGTGTAGGGCTGGGTCCTCACAGCTCAGAGCCTGGAGCCTGCTTCCATTCTGTGTCTCCCTCTCTCTCTTCCCCTCCTCTGCTTGCACTCTGTCTTTCTCAAATATAAATAAACATTAAAAAAAAAAAATAGACTGGGGCGCCTGGGTGGCTCAATCGGTTAGGCGTCCGACTTCGGCTCAGGTCATGATCTCTCAGTTTGTGGGTTCGAGCCCTACATCGGGCTCTGTGCTGACGGCTCAGAGCCTGGAGCCTGCTTCGGATTCTGTGTCTCCCTCTCTCTCTGACCCTCCCCTGCTCATGCTTGGTCTCTGTCTCAAAAAAAAAAAAAAAAAAAAAAAAAAAAAAAAAAAGAGTGAAATGTCTAAGGCCAAAATATATAATGCTCCTCAATTTAGGACTGAAAACTTACTGTAGAGACCTCAGATACACTTGGAGGTAGATTATCAAACAATGGGCTGGCTGGTCAAGCTAAGACATCCTGTAATTTGCTTCTTATACTGTGTTCTGCATTTCAAAACTCAATGTATGAAAGTTATGAACACTGGACATATAAAGTACCTTTCTGAAAAATGGCATCATATTCTTAAAAGTAAAAATATTCTATTATTTGCGTGGAAGTACTCATAGTTGAAATTCACTTGTAGGATGAAAAATGTACTAGTGAATAAGCAAACGGATGAAGAAGGATTAGTCAATAAGCATTTATTGAGCAACTACCAAATGTAAACTTTATGCTCAGTGTTTTGGTAGATTTCAAAGAAACAGAAGACTCTTGGCTTGCAGGAATTCATAACCTAGCTTTCACTAAAGACCAGTCCTAAGAAATATTGACAAAGACAAGTTTAAGAGACATCTTACCAAAAGCGCTCCATAAACAACTGGGGTTGATAGAAGGCACAGTGAGGCCCAATCAGTCAGGTAAGTATAATCAATAAAGGAATGTTGTTTATTCCATATATTAGTAAAGTTTGTATAAACTCACCTGCTGAATATCTAGGCTGGTGATATCCATATGTACAATGAGGGCTTCCACATTTTCCATTAACTTTTTATCTTGGAAATGAACAATCAAGTCTTTCATTACCTGGGGGGTCATCCCCACCAATTTATCACTTAAAATATATGGTTCAAGGCACTCCAAAAACACTCCTTTAGCCACTGAATTCTCACTCAATTTGTCATACATCTGGCTAAATAAAAGATCCCTGTAACAGAGAAAAAAAAAAACTTTCAGAAATATCCTGAACATCCATTAAATTCAGCCTGCTAACTATATGTCCTTGTTTTCCTATTTCAACAAAGCTTAACAAAACAAGCTTAACAAAAACAGTAACAACAAGAGTCTCAATCAATTCTCCCAATACTTTTACAACCAAGAAAAGCTGAATAAGTTAAATTATTTGCTATAAGTCACATAGCCAACATGTGATGGAGTCAGAATTCGAACTCAGCCTGCTGACCTAAATCCTGTGTTGAGTCTATTATGGCACACTGCTTCTTAAAGCAATGGTGATATGGCAGTGGGTAATAAAGTAAACATGATAGAGTAGAAAAAATATGAAAAAGGACTATTCCTAGGGGTGCCTGGCTGGCTCAGCAGAACATGCAACACTTGATTCTGGGGTCATGAGTTTGAGACCCATGTTGGGTGCAGAAATTACTCAAAACAGGACTATTCCTAATTTATCCTTTCCCCTTTCCTGGTATCTAAATATTCCCAGCTCATATACAAAGCCAATATGTTTCCTGATCTAGCTCTTACCCCTTGATTCTCAAAGGGTTTAGGCAGGGATTACTGATAAGAAAGGAAGAAGAAAATATTCACTATTTTAAAAATATATCTGGAATTTATTTTATTGCAGAAACAAAATTTTTTCATTATTCTAAACGCCACCACACTCAATAATTATACTTTATTTATTTCATATTTCTTCTGCAAGTAGTCCATGAATAATTTTAGAGTTATACTCATTGTAGATATAATTCCAAATTCTTTCATGCAACATTATATAATACACATCATTCTATGATGCTACCTACCCTTAAATTTACCATTTTGTCTCACTCACAATGTTTCAACATGCTGAAATATTAGAATTTACTTAAGTATTCCTGTACTTACTTCCACTATTTTACTATCATGAATGATGACACAATGAACATCTACATATACACTCTTTCCCATCTGGGGGATTTAATTCCTTAGTCATTCTACTTTTAGAAATTTATCTTAAATCAAAAGATATGAAAAATCTTGTGGTGGGGCACCTGAGTGGCTCAGTTGGTTAAGCATCTGACTTCGGCTCACGTCACGATCTCACGGTTCGTGAGTTTGAGCCCACTGTGGGCTCTGGGCTGACAACTCAGAGCCTGGAGCCTGCTTCCGATTCTGTGTCTCCCTCCCTCTCTGCTCCTCCCCCACTCACGTTCTGTCTCTCTCTCCTTCAAAAATAAACACTTAAAAAAATTAAACAAGAAAAATCTTGTGGTATTTGAAATTACTAAATCATCTTCAAAAAGTATCATAGCACCAATTTATGCTGCCACCAGCAATGTAGAATTATTCACTTTCACCAGACAATTGTGTTTGATTCTACTACCAGATAATTTAATAAGTGTAAATTAAATAATATTGCTGTCTTTAATTCTTTGATGACTGGCAAAATTAAATGTTTTCCATGTTCCCATTCATACATTGTATTGCTTTGTTTTCGTTCACCTGGTTCATTCATTTCCTTTTTTTGTTTAATACAAGAACTGTGCTAGTTCTATTTATCTCTTAAGACTATTTTTTACTAAATGTGAAAATAAATGTTTTTATAAATGTTATTTCTTTACATGTGTGTCATGTCGCTCGTGAAAAGTGGTAGCTGGTTCATCTACAAGTGTGGTCTTTCATGACAGTTCCACAAAAAGGCCAAGGAAGATTCTGGAGGCAGTAGGAGGGGGCCCTTGCCTCATCTGAAGTCTTGGAAGAGGGCAGATGATAAGAGAACTGGCTACAAATGCACCAGAACGACATACCACTCTTCAGTAAACAGTTCCTGCAATGTCCTGGGAGGGAAATCCATATCCATTTATTGTTTTTTCTCATATCCACAAATGTAATTTTTATAACAGTTTTCCCCTTGCTGCATATTCCTCATGTTGGTTTCATTTTAATCAATAGTCCATCACATTTTTGTGATTACCAATTATTAACCAAGTAAAAGTCACGGAGATTAATAAAACTTTACTGCTACAAAGAGTTACCGCGTAACTCTAATGAAGATAAAGAAAATGCCATATTTGCTAGCCCTTCCACTCTGTAATGCGTTGTTAAAAACGACATGCTAGGGAAGACAATTGTATATTTTAGTTCAACACCAAAAGCCCTGGAGAGGAAAATTAAACAGTGAAAAATTCAGTAAACAGAGCATAAAAGGTGACAAACAGCAGCATGAATTGCTGGTAAGATTAATGGCAAAACCATATATTTCTTTCTTAACCAGTCAGAGGCTATAAATAAAGAAGCAAGAAAAATAAAACTCAGCAACTCTTATTGCTATCTCTACATTTAAAATAAAAATAAAACAAAATACAAAGACATGTTCTCATCATTTTGGAAGAATATTTATTAGAGCATCAGGGAAGAAGGAAGAAAGAAAAGCACATACCAAAAAAAAAAAAAAAAA